ATAAACTTAGCACGCAGCTTCAGCTACTGCAGCTAGAAACTAATGATTATAACCGAAATCTTGGTGTCATGATGGACTGAATCTTCAGAGGCAAATTAAGGCAGTTAGTTAAGTCAGCCTTTTTTTCCAGGATTAAAGGACTAAATTCCAATCTGGATCTATAAAAACTCATTCATGCATTTATCTTTAGTAGAACTGATTACTGCAACAGCATCTTCATTTGTTTGCCTAAAAAGACCATCAGACAGCTGCAGCTGATCCAAAATGCTGCTGCCTGTGTTCTCACTAGAACTAAGAAAGTAGAACACATCAGCCTGGTTCTGAAGTCCTTCCACTGGCTCCCTGCAGCTCAGAGAACAGACTGTAAAATCCTTCTATTAGTCTAGAAATCACTGAATAGATCAGCACCTCAATACAAAACAGATCTGTTCTCAGTGTATCAACCACCCAGACCACTCAGGTCTTCTAGTTCCAGTCTCCTCTGATGACTGGAAAAGTGCTGAAAGCCTGAGTTATTTTAAGTCAAAGTTAAAAACCCATTTGTTTAGAGCCGCCTTTGACTGTTGAAGTTAAACTGTTAACTGAGGTATCATTAGTTTAAGGGTGGGGTCAAACAGTTTTATTTTTTTTGCTACCTGCTTTTATTATCTTTTCATCTTTATTTGCTTTTATTCTGATTACATTTTTCATCTATTTTTAAAGCACTTTGAATTGTCTGTGTACTGAATTGTGCAAATAATCTTGCCTTGCCCATCATCATAAGCCTGGTCTAAGCCTAAGGTCTTAAACAGGATAATGACCCAAAACAAGAAGTTAAAAACACCCAAGAATGGCTAAGAGGAAAACATTACACTATTCTGAAGGGACCTTCTGTGAAGCCTGACTTAAATCCAATCGAGAATCTTTGGAAGGAGCAGAAACATGTCCTCTGGACTCTGTACCCTTTAACCCAGAGACAATTGGAGCAGTTTGTTCATGAGGAGTGGACCAAGATACCTGCTGAGAGGAGCAGAAGTACCACTGTCAGCAACAGGAATCATTTGATTGTAGTGACTACCTCAAAAAGTAGTGCAACAAAATATTAAGTTAGGGGTACTCTCATTTTCTTCCAGGTCTGCTTAATGAGAATCCAAAAAAAAAAAAAATCATTCAATTGAAGCATGATTGAAAAGCCTCTTTTGTTAATTTTCATAGATTTTTTATTTGTTACTTTTGTCAGATTCAAGTTATTTCTATGACTATTGTGTTTTTTTCTTCCTTTTCATTAAATGAGGGGGACCAACTTTTTTGCCCACGTGTGTAAAACCCATGGCACCAGCTGGTTCTTTCAAGCATAGAATAAGGAGTCTGGATTGGATGAGAGATAAACCAATCATTAAAAACACACTATACCCCTGGCTAAACATGGAGCAAGTATGCTTTACTGCAGCAAGGATGGAGAAGCTGTTAAGAGTAGAACAGAATAGAAAGATGAATTAAGAAAAAAAACCCACAGGAAACCAGTTAGAAGGTACCGTCACTACCCGATCCGTCCTGGAAGCACGATCCGTACTATCGGCTCATTTGCACAACCATATATATTGTACATCCGATTCGCCCTCGATTTTGATTTGTAAAAAAAGACCTAAATTACATTTTCCCTCCTTAAAAAAAGTAAGCACATTAAACTATAATGGTTAAAGGTAAATAATGTATTTCCTAAAGAAATAAATGCATTAAAATCTCTCTGTTTTATTAATCATCTGCGTCCGATCTGTACAGGAAACGGGATCTAACTTTTTCGGCTTTGGATTTAAACATAAATCTAGTCTTTTTGAGTTAAATGTTTTCCTTTCACATTAACCATATGGTATATAGTGCATAATCTAAAGAAAGAAATAACAAAAAATAAGATAAATATGGTTTAATCATATTTTGCCGGACTACTCTGAGCATGATGACATCAGACAAGTTGTTTGTCGGAGAAAATGTAAAAGCGTCAAAATTGTATCAAAATGTTTTAAAGATTTGTATTAGCATTCTTTAGTGATGCATTAGTATTCAATAGAAGGATAAAAATAAGTACTTTTAGTTCCATGGTTACATGTTTTATGGCGACATGGATGAATATCTGTTTGAACGTGGGCAAATGGTACGGATCGTGCTTCTGGTACCCATTGGGTAGTAACAGGTACATAAGACTTCAGACTGCAGCATTTTAGCGATCACTTTCCAGCTAAATGCCAATGGCCTAGTCAAAGTTCAGATCTAAATGCCTTTGAAAATCTGTGGTAAGGTTTGCAAAGTGCAGTCTCTAGACCTGTCAATATTATAGAGACATTTCATTCACTTCAACATTTCCTTCTATAGTGTAAATATATGAATATCATAGAAAATCCCAATAAAACGCATCAATGTTTGCTGCAGTACAATGGACCAATTATATCCACTCATCCCTGTGAATAATCTCCCATACCTTCTGTAGGCCATCTCCCATCACGACGGCATGGGTCTGCCAAGGCCAGTTGAATGAAGTGATAACATCTCCCTCAGCGAGAGCGGAACAGCTGCTGGTTTCCACCACGCCGACACCCCCACCATCCACACATTCAGACAGCTGCCATGGAGTCAGGTAATCAGCACCGCTGTCTTCATTCATTTGGCAGCGCTGAAAGAAACAAATCTCATAGAGACTGATGGACACCAACAACCCTTTTCTGTGAGGCATTCACTGACCTGACAGTAGCTACTGTGTATATACAGGATAAAAATGTATGTGTGCTGTTTACAAACTGTATGAAACAACTAAAAATGTCTGCTGGATTCATGTCTGCTTCTTTACCATGTAAGGGTCAACTGAGAGGTAAAGCGTCCGAACCAGGACTTCCCCATCTTTCAGGTCAGGTGTTAAACTTATTTGTTCCAGGCGGAAATTTCCTGGACTTGGCTCTCCATTTTTACCTGCAAAGATTTAAAACATGATTACAACATGCAAAAATCCTGCAAAACATGGCCAGTGGCCCTGCAGAACTAAACAAGGCCCCTGAACTGAAGACATAATAGTTTAAAAAAAAACATATTTTTATTATATGAATGGCATAGAAACTATCATTAATTGCTCTCTTGGATACATTTCTTTTTCTTCTTCTTTTAACTGTTTTATTTCCAACATGGTTTCAAAAAATGAACAAGCACTGAGATAGGATCAGTTTTAGGGCTGCACAAGCTTAGGTTTTATGTTAGATAACCAACCTTTCAAAAGCCTGACAAGCCTTTCCAGATTTGTCAAAACCAGAAAGAATGAAAAACTCTTAATTGTATCAAACTTATTTTGATCAAATAAAAAGAAATATACCAGTGAAACAATAAAAATCTGGTTTAACTGTATAAGAAAAGGCTCTCAAATATAATTAAAAGATTTGGAGCATTTAAAGTGGCCGTTTTATTTAGACTTTAGCAGAAATAAATAAAATCAGTGATTAAAATCGTTTTATCATCTAGTATGAGCTCAGATCTCCCAAATTAAGGAAATCGGGGCCAGTAAATTTGTGCACCCCTACTTTTTATCTGCTGTTTGCAGAGCAGCAAGTGTCTCTTCATCGCCATGTCTCTGGCTGTGCAGTGTGCACCCTGCCCTACTCCTAAAAATGCGAAATAACCTACCTGGACGACAATCAAGAACGACTCTCTGCACCTGCATCGTTTTTTGTTTTATTTTTGTATCGTGTTTGCTCAGTTAAGCAGATCTGGCAACCATAGTCCAGGGTCAGAGGCAGGTCAGAAGGTGAGCGTCACGCTGCGAATAAAAAACATTATAAAAACAAAACAAGCTGTTGATGCAGAAAAAGCACACAGTGTAAAGTCACTAGAAGAAGCGAAACGGTGAGAAAACTAAGCGCAGTTATTCCCCAGGTAGAAATTAAGACCAAGCGGAGAAGGCGAACTTTTGTTTTTGGAGGAAGATCGGTGATTATCACCGGATCATAGGTCAAAACCGCGGCCATATTGTGAGTGGCATTTTTAGTGCGGACAACACTAAACTAAAGCTAAATTAAATATAAATTAGTTATTACTAGAATTAAGACAAACCCGTTTAACTGTTGTATAATTACTAAATGTAAATATGACCTATTCAATAAGTTAAAATACTAAACATTTCTCTCACTATTATGAGATTAAAGTCATAGAATTATGAGAATAAAGTCGCAACGAGAATAAAATAATAAAAGTATGAAAATAAAGTTGTAACATTATGAGAATAAAGTCTTAACATTACGTAATATTATGAATTTATTCTTATAATATTACCTCTTTAATCACGTAATTTTACGACTTTATTCTCGTTGCGACTTAAATCTCTAGCCTGGCCCTAATACGCCCTCGTATTACATAGTTGAACTATGTAACATACGTATTATTGTATGAAAAAAATATTTGCTACAATAATTAATTTCTTAGGTTCCAATCATTTTTTCCGACTCAAACCTTCCACTCACAATATGGCGGATTCGGCTGTCATTTGTTTCCAAGGTGCAGCCTTAAACGAAATAATCCTTTAGGATTATTCGAGTTCTCCTCGTCATCGTGTGCTTACACGTGATACAATCCGAATGAAATTGTATCAATCTTGTAAAACACCGTATCTGGTTAATCATATTCTCTGCTTTGTTGATTACTCTGAGTAAGCCCCACGCAAAGGGGCTTGGTTTGTCAACTGTTGCAAAAGCCTCACCGGTTGACGAATGATGCGTACCAACTGTTGGGCAACTTGGTCGTTTAGAGCGAAGCAAAGATGTGTCCCTGCTTACAGCTTCCGGTTTTGTTAAAAACAAATCCCCAAACACTCTTCGTTTTAGACTTGCCATCTTATACTTATTAGGAATTATTTAAGAAGGAGTGACAGCTAAAAAACATAAAAAGGAACTTTATTTAAAAATATATATTGCAAGAAAATGTGATTAAATTGGTTTCAAAGTGTAACGTTATGGGACAGAAGCAGTCTACTATCTTGTTGCTGGTCCGCCTTGCTGCACAGTTGAGCCGTTAAGGAAACGGTGAAGCAAATAGAAACGGTATGCGCAGGCATAATGAGGTCACCCTGTTGGCTTTCATCAACGCTGCAGCTTCTGAGCACATGAAGACATAATTTCACTGACACGCGTTGTTAATATCGGTCACTTTTAAATGAAAAGTCAGAACGGGCATGGCGTCCCGCGTTGAGGGCTAACAGAAAGCTAAATTGGGTCAGAGTGGGGCTGGGATGTGACGCCTTGTGGAAGCATCTGCAGGAAGGCAACCTCAGAAAAAAGCGAGATGAAGGCATGAATGCCACGGAGGGACCAGATGATAAAGTAAGTGTGCATGGTAGCTTGATATAGATGCGGTTTTATAGGAATCATGTGCTGGTTATGTTGGGTGTTATCGGCTTAGCTGATATGAAATCCCCTCTGACAGCCTCGGACACAAGTCAGAATCCCCCCAGTGTCCCCATCAAGCCTTCACAACTGGAGTCTGACTAAATAATACATCCATTAGTCCATTATCTGAACAAAAGCAGCTAAATGCAAATAATATTGTTCCTGATTAAATATTGTTTGCAAGTTAGAAAAATGAAAGATTCACTTCAGGATTTTTGGCATCTTAATATTGACAAAAAGCTGCTATTATTGTGTGTTATTATTATTATTACTTTATTAATTTTTTTTGCCAGCATATGTATTCAAGTATCTTGTAATATATCTGTATTTGAAGACATCTAACTGCTCCACCCCAACACTGTTGTCACAGCAGTAGTGTCATCAGATTTTTCTTTCTTTTGTTTTTACTCTTTGCTCATTTTGCAATTTATGAGCTAAAAAAAAGGATATGTATGAAAAAAAATTGCAGTTTGCTGTTTTTATGCTTCATAATTTCCACTGATAAAATTGATTCACTGTCAGCAGTTAGTTTTGTATGAATTGTATGTTTTTTGTGTGTGTTGGTGATATGGCTCCCCACCCAGGGCAGTTTAGCGTCATGGGGTGACACACACTTCCTTCCCAAAAATAGGATAATTCTAGATACCTACTGCTTATTTGCTTATGCACTCTAAAATATGAAAGGTAATGTTTTAAATTGTTACTATAGAAACGGGAATGTTTGATCATTTCTGCTTGACAATCGGCCTAGATTAGTCAAGCTTTTTTTCACAGAACACAAAATATTGTTATACGAATGTGAAACTGATTTAATTTTAATTTAAAAAACATGTATTTTTAAATGTTTTTATAGCATCATAGCTCAGTTGGATTGAGATAAGCATGAAAAATATAGTATTTCAGCTTATTAAACCTTGACAATTATTTAAAAGTGAGAAAAGCTCATTAAAAATACAGCTTCTGTTTTTTAAATCTATTTTTTTTAAACCAAAAATGGGGATTCCTTGCAGAGGAATCGCTTATAGGTTTCATAAATCAAATTGCTATTTGCTGTCCAGCAATCAGCTATTTGTAATATGTCATAAATTTCCGATGTATAATTACTTTGTGTGGAAAGGTTTCCTTGAAAAAGGCAGTTTCCCTCAGAGATGGTCACATATACTCATTATGTCACTTGTTTCCTTTCAGTTTATCAGGTTTCAGTGATCATTTTTTTATTTATTTTTTTGCTTTTTTGTTTCGGGTTAGTGTTATATTTTTATAGATTTTTTTTTAGAGTTTTTTTTTTTTTTATTAATTTATTTATAGAGCTACCGGTAGGATAACAATAGTCTGTTGAATTTTACTTTTTAAAATTCACTACCAGCAGTCATCTCCAAGGATAGAGATTCATGTAATTTTTCTGACCATTTTGGGTTTTAATTTCGTTAAACCATCTTTGTCCATCTGTGTAACCTGAATAAGAGGCTTCAAAAATCATGATATTATTCACTGCATTTATAAATCTCTGTTCTATTTCAGAAAAAAAAAAAAAAAAAATCCATTACCTTTTATCATTTTTCATTCAAATTAGTATATTTAGGATTTTAGGGATGCACGATATTGGGATTTTGGCCGATATCCGATATGCCGATATTTTAAAACTCATGTAGCCGATAACCGATATCGATACCGATGTTAAAGCTGGACAAAAATAAGTAGTCATTGAAAATAGCAGTTTTGTTATCTATTTCTGACACTTTAAAAAATAATAAACTCAAATAAATTTTCATATGCTGATATCAAATTGATTTTTAAAAACTTGGTATCGATCTATTTTACTTTCAAAATCTTGTGAAATTTCATCGTTCTGTTACAAACTCTCGTAATATTTTGCAAATTCTTGTGAGATTTTGTTAGTAAAATAGATCGATACCGCGTCAATATATCAACATATAAAAATATGGCAAAAAATTTCGTGAATTTTCAGGGGATTTCGTAGCATAACGATGACATATAGCAATATTTCATTAGTAAAAGAGATTGATATGGTGTTTTTAAATTGCAATATATCAGCATATGAAGATATTGTGATATTATAATGTATCAATATTTTTCCCTTGTCTTTAGAAGTTTTTAAGTCTGTAAAAAAGAAGTTTTTGAGGAAGAAGAAGAAGTAGTATTTTTTTTTTTTTTTTTTTTTAGACTTTAGAAACTCAGAAGCTGATCAAATATCGGGTTAAATATCGGTGGGGTGGCCGATGTCCGATATTCAGTTTTAAGGCCGATACAGGCCGATACCGATAGGGGGCCGATTATATCGTGCATCCCTAATTTTTTACGATATTTTTGAAATTGGTTCTTGCTGTGTATATATATTTATTATCTACATCTGACACCCAGTGCAATAACTGTGTAGGTATATATTATAATAGGTCCCATGGACCTGTTTCTTCCTTTGGCACATTCTTCTTCTCCTTTGACTATTTGAGCAGATGTAATGAGGAAAATTCTCCAGTGTGAGATCAATCAAATCAATCAGTCAATCAATCAATATGTGGACACACTGTTTATACCCAATGACCCATTTTCCTCTTTTTGGCACCTTCTTTTGACTATCGAGCCGATGTGACCAGTGAATATTTCCCCTATGAGATCAATAAAGTCTATCTTATCTCTTATTTAGAATGATGTAATGTAGAGTCTTAAAAAAACCAAACCTTTAACATTACCCTATTGGGCTGCAGATGAACAATTGCCCTTAATATCTTCATCTGGCATATTTACACATGAGCTTTTGCTCATGCTAACTAATATGCATTGCCCCGTTTTAAATAACCATATAAATATTTATTAGGCCACCTTTCTGTTTTCAGCTGCCTGCGATTGTCCCAATTCTTTGGGGATTCCCCGTGCATAGCAGCAGTTTGAAATGATTTCTAAATGCCTGAGCTGTGGTTTAATAATTCATAGAACTTCTGTGAAATTACTGAGAACAAACAAGTTGTGCTCTTATGGAATTTTGTTCTATGTCTTCTTTTTAAACCAAAAGGCCTAAAAACACTTCCTCTAAAGTTTTCCCCCACACAGACGCCCAGACCAGAAGTGCAAATACCGATGCTGTCATCCAGTTTTTTCTGTCCTGTTAATAACATTTAAATAGGGTTCATTAGACAGATAAAACATGTACAAACTGCAGCCCAGTACTATAGTTATTCTGGTGTATGCAGAGAATACAATGAGGGGCTGTTTCCAGCAATCTTTCTGTTGGACAAATGGCTGCTGTTTGTTCTGCCTCTTTGCAGTCTTTGACTTCAGCATCTTTGAGATAAATAATAATAAACCACCTCACAATCAGAGGTATAAACTTCTGATTCTTTATTTTTGTGCTCAAATTAAAATAACAATCAGTACAGATATGGATTTATAACATTTAAAGAGGCATTACTCGGGTTTTTCTTTAAAGCCAGTCCTGCTGATTCAGGTTTAACCAATTCTGATTGTTTTAATTTTCTTCTGAAAAAGTAGAGCTTCTTCAAACAGAAACTGCATGCTGCTGTTGTTCATAGAGGTAGAGTTTTTATGCTGCAAATACAAACAGGAGGAATTACTGGATTTATGTTGATTCTGTTCAGGAGAGGAAAAAGTGTGGAGAAATGCATGCTGTCAGTTGATGCGTTCATAGACTGGAAATAGTTTGATGCATTTGATGAATTGGAGAGAAAAAAATATGCAGAGTGTTAATTACTTATTAATAAACTGGCATAAGCCTGATTGATGTTTAGTTAATTTAGAATTCTACACAGTATCCATCTGCAAAGGCTCCTGTGGAAGGTGTCCACAGGAAGGAGGGACATTCAGTACATTCTTCAAGCTGATTGGGTAAATCAACAAGTCATACCTGCCTCCCACGTTGTGTTTTTAGCCAATCACAGCAGCAGTAGCAGCTGTGAGGTCACATTCGTGGTTTGTTTCACAATCAGCAGCATTAACTAATAAATCACATTCAGTTGGGAAGAAAGCAGAAACCTTTCCATTCATAAAGCCACAAATCACACCCCTTAGCTTGTTTTTCAAAAAGAGGAATAGAGGCTGTTTCATCTAAAAGAGGTGCAGCCATGTTTGTTTTCTTTCAGCCTGCCGCTCTAGGCTGGCGTCTAACATGTCGCTGCATTTCATTGCTACAAAACATTTCTGTACGGCTAATGCATAGATGTATTTTCGGGAGTTTGTGAATTTATACATTTTGCAGCAAGGTAAACTTCTGAGGGTAAATTGGCCGATTATATTAGCAATCTGGGGTTAGATCAATGCGTTTATCATATTTAGGCCTTTTTCCTTTAGAAAAATCACTGTGGTCCTTTTACAGAGTTTAGTATAGAGATTTCTGTTTAAATAAATATAGATGGAGGGTTATTTAGTGATATTACACTGATCCATGCAAACTCCTGTTCCATCTAATTTCACTTTAAAGGTGAAACTTCTTGCCTGATCATCTTCCTTAAAACTACCAGTTTAACATTATAAATGTTGAATGTCATTTCTTTTATTTTTCCTTTTGAAAGGTGAACCAAAACATGGAAATCTAAATAAGTAATTTCTTCTTAAACTAAGTGCATTTGTTCATGAATTGAGGAGGTAAGTGAGACACTTTGGAACAAAACAATTTACCTTTAAAATAAGAAAAAGCAACCGCATTGTCTTATTTCAAGTGCATATTATCTAATAATCTAATTTTAAGGATAAAAATACTCATTCCATTGGCAAATTATCCCATTTACCTACTAAAATGAAGGGTAAATACACTTGATGTGAGACATTTTTACTTATTTCTAGACCATTTTTGCAATGTGAGGAAAAAGAAGTGAAATCATGCTGAAAATATTAGGAGTAGCCGTAATATAAACAGTATTGTGTTCATCCTCCCACATCCCCGTGGGAGGCTTTTTCCTCCCATGTTTGCTGTGGATCAGCAGCACCACGCAGGCATTCCAAGAAGTTTTTCAGGAGTGAAAAAAAGGGGAAAGTTATTGAAAGGAAAGATGAATTCTGGTGAAGCTGTGTGTGTGTGTGGTCTTGTTTTACCTACAATGTGAGGGAAGTATTTTGTGAAATATCAACTTGGTACTATATGGTAAAGTTCCGTTCTTTGAGTTGGGGTTAGGTTTAGGACTAATGTGTGAATTCAGTTTAGGTTAGGATTAGGATTAAGGGTCTGGTTCAGGCCATATAAAATTAATGCAAGTCAATGAAATGTCCCCATATGTCATGAAAACAAGCTGTGTGTGTGTGTGTGTGTGTGTGTGTGTGTGTGTGTGTGTGTGTGTGTGTGTGTGTGTGTGTGTGTGTGTGTGTGTGTGTTTTCCCCCTTTCATCCCCTGCGTGTCGGAATTTCCCGCATGGACTGAGAGGGATCTTGCTCCGTAAATTACAAGCGCTTTGCGTGTCAGAGGAAAAGCCTTATATGGGCAGGGGAGGAAATGGGCGGAGCCAGGGAAGCTGGCTGCACGGGAGGGGAGGAGGCAATCACAAGACAGCCAGAGAAGAAGACAGAGTCAATGCGCTGCTGCAGGCCGCATCTTTTTGTTGTTGTTGTTGTTTTGGTTTGTGCAATAATAATGCGGCCGCATCGCGCTTCTGTTGATGCGCGTTAATACGTTTGTATCTACGCTGCACCCCCCTCCCCTCCCCTTCCCATCCTCGCCTGTTTTCTTCGTCTTAGCTGGGGGTGCCTGAGGGGGGAAGAAATGCGTGAGGTCAGCGGAGTAGTATGAGTCAACCCCGGGGATGTGTGCAGTCATCATCGCCGGCCTGCCGCCGCTGGCCGCCCGGCCGGGAGCCGCTGTTCCTCCGGTAAGTACGGAGGCCGTGGAGCCCATCGCCGCTGCTCCTGTCATGTTGGAGGCTGCGGGCTGACGCCGCATGTTACCGTGACCGCAGCTCGCTGACAAAGTTTTGTTTACGTCGGGCTGCGCGGCTCGCTTCGTAAAGCTAAAGAAGAAAAAGGGATTGTTTTCTGACAGCGCGCGCGCTGCGGAAACGTGACGCGTTAACGTGCTGACAGCCTGAATCCATAAGATCTCTGCTTTCAAGCTGCCGCGCTTCTTTAGTGACATTTCTGGATAATCCGTTTTCTGCAACAAAGGGCTTGTGGTAAATAGCGCTGGGCTTCCTGGCCTCTGGATGCGATGTGATCTCCTCACAGGCCGCACTGCTAGCTTTAAATGAACAAATTGCTATGGATTAGGGCGCTTGACATTTATTTTAAGCCAATTTGCTGGGTTGTGCGCTTAAACCCCTCAGCTTGTGTAAGGGCTGCACTTGTGATGCGTCATGGTGATCCTTCACCTTGCTTAATAACCAGGCTGTCCCTGTAATCAGCAGGTTAAACTGGAATAAATGGAGCTATTCATGCGCACCTTTTCTATCACAGGGTTTGACAGCATGTTGGTGGCATCACATGCTACTGCTGCTGCTGCACACATGCTGTTTGTTGGCCACACAGCGTGGTCTTTAGCTTCCCCCCTTTAACTCACAAGCCAGTGCAGGATCTGAACAGCTGCAGATGTCTATTTTAAGACATTTCTCCAGGCCACCAGAGTAAAGGGTGACTATTGTCAGCCGCTTCTTAAGTTATAGGTTTTTTTGTTTGTTTAAAGATTTCATAATGAATTTGTGCATGGGTGTATCAGATTAAGCAGACGATTACTCTAAATCAGAGAAAAATCTGCATGCTTTTTGCCTTTAGATCCTTGATTGGATGATTATTAACATACATTTTTTTTTCACTTTGCACAGATGGAACAATTAAAATTCAACACCCTGGCAAAATGTGCCCTAAAACCTGGCAGTTATGCAATATACTATCAACCCGGGGTTGCCACGGTAATCGCCGTTCTGTTAAGTTACCAATGGCTGCAAGGACGCTTTGACTTTTTCCCCTCCTCACGGTCTTTGCAGAGACCGCCAAGCTGTGACTCATGTTTGCTCACTTTCTGCTGCCCTCCCTATTCAAGACGGCTGCTGAGGTTCAAAGGGCATAGGTTTTTTTTTCGCACCTCTGAGTCACAGCATGGTTTAAAAAAAAAAGCGAGAGTTTTTTTTTTTTTATCAAGTTCAATTGTAGTTTGGCGGGAAAATAAGCGCTTTGTTTCTGTTGCATTTCAAGAGCTGTTCACTGTTTGATAAGGGATGCAGCGCTCCAAGATGGTGAACATTGTGGAGAAAAAGGCCCAGATGGAGCAATTCATTAACAGTGACTAGAAATGTAATTGCAAGTAATTAATGCAGAAACACTGTGCATTGATTACTCGTAATGACATTTTTAGTTACTATTAATTAAGCGTTCTCTGTCCTTTATCTCCACAGTTCCACGTTGCCTCTATTTGCTTGCAGCGTCTTCCAGCAAGTCTTTTTGACTTTCCATTTTTGTCGAGTTGCAACCACAAACCCTGTGTGTGTTTCTTGGGGATTTTTATTTTTTACACTAGCACCAGGTAATGTGGCACGGCAAAGAGACATGGTTTGCAACAGTATTTCTAAAAGGAATCTGAACAACAGTGGAATGGATCAATAATAGGTTCCTCCTTGGTCGATACTTAAAAAAGAATCCCCAATGATACATGGTTGTATTCTAGCAGCTTGGATAGTTAAACTTAAGTGGCTGAGAGCGAAGGTCACAGGGACTGAACGGTGGGAAGTTTGCCTAACATTAGAACACATCCTTTAAAACATCCCTGCTTTTAGGAATGGTGTCGCAGTTTCATATTTTGCTGATGTTGTATTGCATCAATCGAAATAATTCAATAGATCTTTGAACATTTAGTCATGACCTTCTGAAAAGAGAACCCCCACTTATATGTAAAGTCTTTTAAAGGCTCAAACGTGTTTTTTTTTTTGTTTTTTTTCACTCTATTGATTTTCTGTTCACACCCAAGCTGGAAAATGCATCCCCACAGCATGATACTGCCACCAAGTCTCACCATTTGGGATGGCTCCTTCCATAAAGAGCAAATTTGTAGGCAAATTATTTATATCTAAATTTAAAGGTTGTCATGTTGACCTACTGTGCCAATCTGAGTTGTGGTTGTCTGCAGCTCTTCCTGATTGAAATACTTTGGATAGTTTTTGATTCTTTAACCTGTGTGGATGGATCTTGGTCTAATTCATAAACTGGTCTTCACACAAGTGGACATTATGGACTAATAATTTCTCTAGGATTTTGGAGCTTTAGGTCCTTAGCGGATAAATACATGCTCAGATTTCTGTTAATAGCATGATAATGTGGGCCAGGGTGTAACCTGTCCCTCCACTGAGTTGTTCTCTTATGATCTCTCCCTATGAAAGGAGGCTTTTTGCTGAAAAAGCAAACATCAGGTTTTCAACAGCTGATGCTAATGAGACCCCTCCTTTTGGGGCCCATTCTCTCTGATTGTTTAACTGATGACCTCTTTCTCATTTTCTCTATGCAGGGTGTTACCCATGAATGAGAAAAACACACAAAGCTCTACAGATCTTTTAACCCCCCACAACTGGAGCCCTCTGAGAAGCTTGTGAAGAACTTCAGAGAAAAACGGAGGGAAATCTTGTTCGTACAGCTTCTTTTACCTGTGAATACTACAGAAGCTTCAGCAGAGTGTTGCTTTTTTAGAGACAAAGGACATAGGGCTGGGTTGGTGTAGCTCCCTGCTTTGGCTCATTCATGCCCGTCATGAGCGTACCTGCCCAACAGAAAGCCAGCGCCAAAAGAACGGGCAAACGGATCACATTTTTTGGCGATCACGGCGGAGACTCAATGAAGGAGACTTCACAGCATCCTGACGGGGCTTACTTTGTCCCGAGCGGCCCTGCCTCAGAGTCTGGACAAAGCGAGGCGGCGAGTACTGTGAGCTCCAATCCAGAAGGTCCTCACATGTACCTCAACTCTGTGATCTTCAGCCCAGATAAGGGGGACCAGAGCAGGGGTCACTATCAGCAGACTGTGCCAATGAAATGGGCTAACCCAGAGCCCAGCCAACAACAGCAGCAACAGCAGATAGCTGCATCTTGGACCACTATGCCTAACTGGGGGCCAGCCTTTGCAAACTACACAAGGACCCAGAATGCATTTGTCAAACCGATGCACGACCCTGCCGGCTTACAGCCGCATCAGCAGCCGGTGAACAGAGCAGCGGATGCAGCAAAGTCTCGAGCGCTTGAGTGGGAGCAGCAGCAGCAGCAGGCTTCCCAAATCTTTCAGGAGACGCTGAAACCCGGAGTGCTGAACGCTCACCAGCAGGGCTCCTCCCACCCTGGAGGAAGCTCGGTCTTGCAGTCCTTCCAGTTAGCCTTTGGTCAGCCCAAACAGCACCTGCCCGCTTATTACCAGACCTTCCAAGGGAACAGGAACACACTACCTAACCTGCCTAACTACTCGGCGCCTAATTCTAAATCCTCGCTACACTTGCAGCAGCTGCAGAGCCAAGAACAAATGCAACGACAGCAGCAGCATCATGTCATCCAGCAGCAGATCCAGCAGCATCACCAGATCATACGACATCCACACGTGCAGCAGCAGTTACACCACGAGCAGCAGCAACAAAAGATGCAGCAGCTCCAGATTCAGCAACAAATGCAACATCAGCAGTTGCAACAACAAAACCCCCATGTGCTAGACTATTTCTCTGGTGCACAAAATGCGCACCCTCATCCACAGCCTGTGGTGGTACACTCCCAGGAATCCACCGCTCCAGCTCCCCCTAAGATCCAGGAACCAGTGATCCAAGACATCACGCCAGAACCCCAGCAGCCGTCCGATCCTCTGCAGCCCCCCCTGCTCCCCGAGCCCCCGTCGCAGTTACAGTCTCAGACACAGCTCAACTCCCAGGGGCAGCTCCGCAGGTCCCGGCGGCTGTCCAAGGAGGGCGGGGCGCCGTCTGACAACCCTTTTCTCTGCGGGTCCTCGGATCAGGGAGGACCCGAAAACGGGGCCCGTGACGTTCAGGCAGCACCCACGGGGGTCATCCAGAGCACACGCAGGAAGCGGCGGGTGTCCCAGGAGGTCAACCTGGAGATGCTCGCCCAAGAGGCGTCAGAGAGGAAGTCTCCTTCGCTCAGTAAGGTAGAAACCTTTCTTTTAACCCAACATTTTGCACATTCATCTCCCCCTCGATTGTTTTCCGTTAAAACACAGAGAGATACATCTTTACCAGAAATGACTAAATGCTCTAAATATCTTGTACTGTTTTACAGTTTAAAGCTTAGTTCTTTACTAGGAGCTGGAACCTTCTACTCTGCAAGAGCTAAAAAATCTATCCTTCTAGCACCATCCAAGGATATAATTGCACTGGAAACTTAATTCCCACAGCAGGAGCGTAAAACGGAGCAAACGGCCAAATCTCACTGTGTGTGATTACTGGGTTTCTGGATGAGCCGTCGGGTGTAAATCAGCTGCTCAGCTCAGCCTCATGCACAGAGCTATTATATGCATTCTTTACGGGCAGCTTGGTGCAGCGTTTCAGGCCTTTATTTAAACTATAAAAGAGGTTGAACAACAACAACCCGAATGCATGAGCTCGTAAACTTATCTCTGTTTGTGTGCTGAAAGTGTCGGTTGTGCAACAAGTCCTGTTGCCAAACTGCAGGGTATGTTTGTAGTGCAGCACAGTTGGCCATGCCCTGAATTCACCTCATGAGTAGCTGATCATGCAGCATGTGTGTTTGGTTACATGCCTGCACACCTCCCCCTGTTTAAAAAGAGAGAGAGAAACTCCAGCTTGGGGCCCCCCTCCCCCTCATGCCTGCGTGCTTGGTGGGGGTTCAGGGTTGCCTCGCCTGCACTGCTCAGCAGAATGTCTCTCTACCTCTCTGTTGTAAGGGTGGCTGGAGTTTTCCACCAGTAATAATAAGCAGTGACACTGCGTAGCTACAGCAGCCCGTTTCCCTGACGATGCAGCGAACATCTGCCTTTCCCATGTCCTGATGCAGCGGTTTTAGCTCGGGGTTCGAGGTCCGGAGCAGACTGCGGCTTTGAAGCACAGCTGCTGGTGCTCAGTCATTGTGGTTTCTCAAAGTAAAACACTTGATCTAAGCGTGGGGTGCAGGGGGGCAATTCTGACAGGTCTTTTAAGTGAAACTCTTCTATTTAAAATCAAGGTGCAGACGAGCAAAGCAATGCAGGAAGTCGGCGCAGCAGAACATCTGTAGAAGCACTTAAATCGCTACATCTAGGAATCAGGGATTTAAGAATGCTAAGTTATAATATAATATCGTTAATATAATGATAATAAAGCAGAAATTATGATCAAATAATGAGAAGAACAAAAACATGGAGATGGTGAACAATAGGCATGAAAATAACTGTAGGTAGTTTACTTCTCCAGTTTCTATTTCTTTCCCATGTATCGCCTTTCTGCTTCCATTTTGTCGTTTTACTCAGTTGAAAATGTTTTAGTAATGTATAGTCTGGGTCATTTAACGCTGGCTGAAAGTGAACTTTGATCAAACCAGAGTAACTGAAGGCATCTCACTGCTGGTAGATGATTATTAAAGTAATGAAACTCAATTTCCTTGTAGCTGACTGAGATCAACATCACCGTGGCAACAATCTGCACCCAAAGATGTCTGGAGTTAAACGCATTTCTGTACTCTGTTCAAGTTGGTGCGTTCTGCAGTTTTGTGCTCATCTGTAATGATTTACAGGTGTTTATTGGGTCAACTGAGTCTTTTATTGTGATAGAGAGAAATGGGAAATGTAGATAAATGGATAGAGGCCCTCAGCATCATAGATCCTTCACCATACCTACAGGTAGATACAAGGGGGGTTTTGCTGTTAGAGAAGCTTAAATTCACTGGTAAAACAACAATTTCTAAATGTTTTTGTATTTTGTTAATTAAATTGGATTCTGGGGAAACTTCAGACCAAACTCAAAGATTTCTAAACCTTTTTCTTCATAGATAAGAGAGAAGAGCCAGTTCACAGGGAAATAAGGAGTTACAATATGTAAAGGCTTACTCATGCTGTGGGCTGCTTCTCTTCTAAAGACCACGAGAGCCTTATTTAGTTGAATTGCAGCATTAAAATACCAGGATTAGTAAAATAATGAACAGATTTTTACTTTAATTCTGAATTCTCCCCATCTGTATATGTGCCACTGCTATTGGAGATTAATGTATTTTAATGCTTGTGAAGCATCTGTATCAATCTTGAATCTATCTCATGTCATGAGGGAAAGCAGACCTAACAACCGGCATGACTGTTTATCTGCCGTTTTGTTCAGGAGCCTCACAGGCCGTGGAGTCCCGCCACGGACGGCATGAACGGCAAGCGGCCCCGAGACGACAGCCTCCTCCCGCTTGTCATCCCCGTATCTGTTCCCGTTCGGAGACAGGAAGCCTCGTCCCCGGATAGGGACGGCGTGGCTCTGACGCCCAGCTGGCCTAACAGGCCTTCCAACCACCAGGACCTGGGCCGCGCCGATCACAAGCCCTCTGTCATCGTCACCCGCAGACGCTCTCTTCGAAACTCTTTGTCGGAAAGCTCAGAGCAGGTGGGCGATAATCTCTACTTTTTTTGTTCATCATTTCTTTTAGATTCATTTTATTGATTAAAAAATAAAAGCTGAAGCCGTCCCTCAGGACTGTGCGGAATTATCCGGCGTCCTGATATCTTCATCAGTCTCGGATTTCATCTGTTTTAATTCCAGCTGTAAATCCTTGAATTCATGGCACCGTGCCCCCCAGACACTGTCCCTTCCCCCCCTGCTGTGCCGAATGTTGTCCCTCCCCCATGTTCTCCCGTTCCCACATTCAGCTGGGGGGTTTGGTGAACTGGATGCCCTGTCCCAGATCAAGCAGATTAGAAGCTCTTTGATGCTGTACATTGTGTACCATACATTTAAGGGGAAGTTCTTTGTTCTTTCAGGAAAGCTAAATCATCAACCTTCCTTCTTTTAGGTCCTTTTTTTGTCTCAACCTTGTAGTCTCACCATGCTCACACATCTCATCAGTGTTTCATCTCTGCCCTACAGAACGATGGCACAGAGGGGGAGAGGGACGATGACGGCAAGAAGTCCAAACGGCGCCCCCGACCAGAGCCTCTCTTCATCCCGCCGCCTAAACCTAGTTTCTTCATCGCCCCGCCCGTCTACTCCAGCATCACCCCCTACCAGAGTCACCTCCGCTCTCCGGTTCGCCTCGCCGACAACCCGATCACGATGCCCCCGTACACGCCGCCGCCGATCCTCAGTCCCGTTCGGGAAGGCTCCGGCCTCTACTTCTCCACCTTCCTGTCGTCGGCTGCAGCCGGCGGTCCTGGCCTGCCCCCTCCCGCCACTCCCAAATCAGCAACTCGCAGCTTGTTGCGTTCCAGTGAGTTAAAAAATTATCCACCAAACTTCTGAGTTCCCAATACCCTTATAAAAACATCATCTCTTTTGTTGTAAACATATGACAATTATTTACAAAAGAAAAATAATTTTTCATAGATTTTTTTGTAGCCTTTGAGGTATAAGATAAGATAAAATCACAGTAACCTCTGCTCTGATACAGTATGGCAGGGAGAAAAGGCAGTAGTTCTGTTAATGGTTGTATATTTACTTTTTTTCACCTTTTAGACAGCTGTGACATCACGCCTCCGGTGCTGTCCGCCATGAGTGAGACAACTCCAGTCAGCATCGAACCGTGAGTCCCTTCTTTCTTTCTGGAAACGAGCGCTTTGACGGCTGCCTGATATTTTCAAGGAAACAATTTGGCCCGTCTGACTTGCATTATCCCAGCTGGAGGAAAAGCCCTGTCATTAATTACTCAAAACAAACATGATTGAGTCATAAAGAGTGTCGAAGGAGAAAACACTGGTTGTTCAAACTCTAAACCTGTAGTTTAATCCGACTTTACTCCTACCAAGTACCACCGCTTCACAGTTTGCTCCATTTTGCATCAGAACTGGACCTTGAAAAGAGCTTTGAAAAGTTGTGAGCCATAAAGTGAAGCTGATGAACCTCTTCTATATGCCTACCATGTTACAGTAATGACCTCTTATTAGGAATATCTGATCAGTTCATCCCTTCGCCCTCTGTTAGCTGAGCACAAAACAGAACAAGCAGAGCAAATATTTAGACCTATTTTTTTATAGTAAAGAAACCAAGTTCAGTTTTATTCTAAACGGTTCAAAGCAGTTGGATGTTTCCGATCATCAGCCCCTCGCTGCTTCTCTGCTCAATGATTTCTCATCGCAGTACGGATGTTCTCATGAAGTGTTTAGACGGATCTATTTTGCTGCTTCTTTTGAAGCTTATTAGAAGCAGGCATCTTTTTAAACCCAACCTTTTGTCAGCTGAGATGTAAAATGTTTAGCAGGCATGTCAGGACGGTGGGGTTGTGTTTGTCGTCACATCAACAAAGACCAGCGATTTACGGCGTTGCATTTTTCTAGCCTTGGCCTGACTGATGCCATCTGCTTGATGCGGACTTTGACACAGAGTAGTGAGACTTTCCTCCATTCATGCTTTGGCTTTGGTCTCCTAAATGCACAAGAGCTGTTGCAGTTTGGCTCACGCTGGCCTACCTTCCCTCGAGGGGTTCCTAGTGTACACTGACTCATATGCACTTAGTGGGAAATGCAGGAGAGGAAGAGAGAATCTAGGTTATTGTGGAAAAATACACATTTTGAAGTATAGTTAGTATTCTTGAACCCCTTTGCATTGTTTTGCATAGTTCCTCATCAGAATAAGAAAGATTTTTTAAGGTTTATTTAATATTCCCTTAGGATCAATAAAGTGTTTTATTTGAAATTAAAGCTATTATTTCAATATATGAATTTTTGAATTTGCATTGGAACACCAAACGGCGAAATTGGCGTAGATATGAACAACAGGCTGTTTTTAAAAAGCTGTTTTTTGTAATGATATTTTTAAAATTCCAATATTAAGTGTATCTCATCCCCCCCACCCAGACGGATAAACATCGGGTCGCGGTACCAAGCAGAGGTACCAGAGCTGAGGCAGAGGTCGGCTGTGGAGCTGGATCGCCATCGAGCAGAACTTGTTTGGGCCCCGCCCTCTGAACTGGAGGAAAAACCAGACTTTAAGGACAAGGGTGAGAAAAAAAAACACGGCAATAATGACAGATCAGTTTCTACTGCTCTCGTAGAATGGTTAGATATTCAGTGTCTCTCTTTCTAAGCTTAATATTCCTATATAAAAATGACTTGACTTCATCTTTTATCATGGATACGGGGTTTAATAAACCATGGTATTGCAGCTGTGGTTAACATTAACTTGTTGACGTCTCTTTCAGTGGAAGTCCTCATGCACCTGGCCTGTTCCAGTGTGTTATATGGAGGAGGCACCAACCAGGAATTGGCGCACCACTGTTTGTACGAGAGCAAAGGGGACATAATGGTGAGTAATCCATACTGACTGAATGCACAGCAGAAAAATAGCCTAACCTTCTCACAGCAGAGGGAAGAACTTTTCCACCGATGCAGAAAGTGTTTATTTTTGTCTGTGAAGGTTAAAGGCAGTTCTCCTCCTGGTTTTCCTTGGATAGAAAACTTTGAATCAATCTGACTCTACGATCTGGTGAACTGGAAAGTGTCTTGAGAAAACATGTGTTGTGAATTGGTGCTATGTAAATAAACTGAATTGAATTGAATTCTCAGGGAGGTTCCCACAGAGTTGCTCCACTTATTGCAGCCATGTAATGAATGCATAGAATCTACATGTCTAAAATATCCTCAGTCTGAATCTAGAAATAGAGAAAAAGTGGCAACACTGACAAAAGGGAACAAAGATTATCTTGATTTAATTCTGCAAAGCAACTCTATTTATTCTGAGATTAAATTAATACACTGACTTCTAGGGATGCTCGATATTGGGATTTTGGCCGATATCCGATATGCCGATATTTTAAAACTCATGTAGCCGATAACCGATACCGATGTTAAAGCTGGACAAAAATAAGTAGTCATTGAAAATAGCAGTTTTGTTATCCATTTCTAACACTTTGAAAAATAATATACTCAAATATATTTTCATATGCTGATATCAAATTGATTTTTAAAAACGCGGTATCGATCTATTTTACTTTCAAAATCTCGTGAAATTTCATCATTCTGTTACAAGCTCTCGTGATATTTTGCAAATTCTTGTGAGATTTTGTTAGTAAAATAGATCGATACCGCGTCAATATATCAACATATAAAAATATGGCAACATTTCGTGAATTTTCGGGGGATTTCGTAGCATAACGATGACATATAGCAATATTTCATTAGTAAAAGAGATTGATATGGTGTTTTTAAATGGCAATATATCAGCATATGAAGATATTGTGATATTTTAATGTATCAATATTTTTTCCCTCGTCTTTAGAAGTTTTTAAGTCTGTAAAAAAGAAGTTTTTGAGGAAGAAGAAGAAGTAGTATTTATATATATATATTTTTTTAGACTTTAGAAACTCAGAAGCTGATCAAATATCGGGTTAAATATCGGTGGGGTGGACGATGTCCGATATTCAGTTTTAAGGCCGATACAGGCCGATACCGATAGGGGGCCGATTATATCGTGCATCCCTACTGACTTCTTTGTTAAATGCAGTTTGTTGCATTGTATTTATAGGTGTCAGGTTTAATGGGGCTCGCTGCAAATGCATGCTACACTTTTAAGTTATTTCTAAGAACATTTAGAAACCATGTGTCATTTTATCTTTTTCCATAATCCTGCTTCAGATCAAATCCCAATGAAATCTGTTGGAATCTGTACACAAGATGGGGAGAATTTAAAAACCAAATAAATGGTGGTTAAGCTATTTTTCCATTTGGATCTAACAAATGGAAATGGACCAACATGTTTTTTCTTAGTATTTTAGTACAGATTTCTTAAAATGAAGGCATTCACATGAATTAAAATGTTTTTTTTTTGTTGTTGTTGTTTATCAAAAGACGTTTAGCAAATCAAACAAATTTAAAGTTGGACATTTCCATACTTTAGTTTCCAATCCCAAGCTAACCAGCCGCATTCTGACGTGAGGTTTTGATCATTCTACTACATCTGTTTTCATGCACCCAACAGATGTAGTAGATTTATTCAATTCTCATGTCGTCTTTCTTGTCTGCATGTAAATGTGAGCGCTGACCATCCCTAAATGAGTTTTGCTGGTTGTTGAACGGAAGTGACTGATCTATAGATTTTCACTTTGCTTTGTGCTGAAGCTCTGTGGTGATCAGAGATGACTGATAGTAAACCTGTTTGGTTGTTTATAGCCCGTGGCACGCCGATGCTCCTCTGCAGAGCGACATGTGCTGCAAGAGCTGAAACAAACATTTCAGCTTTTAGTTCAAACAGTGAAACTAGATCAAAAACTGATGGTGAGTAAGGGAATTTTTATGCTGTGCCACATGTATGCCATCTTAGTGAAAGGCGGGTCTCAGTTCTACAGATTTGTGAACAAGAAACTGACCTCATTCATGGTCAAAGTAATCCTAAAATGTTTCTGTTCTTAAGGCTCATGAATCGGACCAGACTAATAAGTTCTCCACCCATGCTGCAGAAGCTAGCCATCCTTTGCCTCCTGATTGCATCACAATAAGTCCTTTATTGACATCAGAGGCTAGAGTCGAACCGCTATATAAAATATTTAATGTTGCCTGAATAAATCAAGCTGTATGTTAGTGCAGTTCACTGCAACCCGACTGGAGGAAATAGTTCAGTGCTTGTAACGAGGTCGAAGGACGGTTATTGGTAAATAGTGTGAGGTACTTTCCCCATGGCGATATTATTCAGATGTAACACATTTTACTGGACCTTTTAAAGATATTCTTACATATTTAGTCTGTTTCTGGTTTTGTTTCAGTAAAAAATCTGATGTTTTTTACTTGTTGGACCAAAACAAAGTGGCGTATAGCTCCGAAGCAGGAGGAAAGTGACTTGTTGTTAAAAAAAATAAATAAATCTGAAAAGACTTTTGGGCATTTTTATTGCACTCTTTTACTCTGATTTATGAAATCCTGTTGGATTCAGAGTTTTTGCTTTTGCCAATACTTCTCGATTGATGCAAATCTAAACTTTGATTGGACTAATATTCAATGGTTTTGATACTTCTGGGATTAAACAGACCTTAATGAAATGACCAGGTCTTCCGTTCCATATAGGGTTCATAGTCACCTCTGTCCCGTTTTCAAGGTTTTCCTCCAGAATCACCTGTATGGAGCTTGCTTTAATTATCGACACTGACCTGCTTCCCTCTCTCTGCTGGAGAAAAGTGTTCCCAGTATGACGCTTCCATCACCATGCCTTATGACTGTAATATTAACTGTCTTCTTAAACTGAGCTAATAGAAAACTCAAATCTCGTTGGATTTTTTCATATGGAAACCTTGTATGTAAGTTTATGACATAAGAACAGAACTGCAGGTCATTCTGTGTGAAGTGGTTAATATTGAGATCTTAACTCTGTACTCGGATGTCCATGCCGAACGTCCTTACTGCCTGATCCTGGGTTGTCAGAGTGTTTTATGGTGCTGCAGGACGAGATTTCAGGCCCTAGCGACAAGCATCGGTCCAATGTTGTCTAGGTAACCATGAAAGAGAAGGGGGGGGCAGCCAAAGCGCCCACTCTCTGCAGCAGTCCGACTCAAAAGCCGATCTTCAGATGGTTTTTCTGAAAGAGAATGGATTTGGTTCCCTCTTTTTCTCCCAGTTTGGATTTGTAGTGTTGTTGGTTAACCCAGCTTATTGTCCCTTAGTCACTTTTTCCAAACGTGCAACCAGAAAACATTGAAATACTACTTTTTTTTCTCTCAGGCCGCACTGTCTCTGCTGATGCTGAGGGATCCGATCTTCCCCAAGACCCATCATCTATCCAGCTACCATTACTCAGGTAATCAATCCATGCAACCCCCAGTTTATGTATCTCTGCAGCAGTGGAGGGGGGCTGGTGCCCTTATGGCTGCAGAAGACATAGCATGTGGTGAGCAATTGTTTGTTTCGTTGGTGTTAAAGTTTTAGGGGATAAAGCCCAACTTATAGCTGTCTCCACGTGTCCTCATATCAATTCAGAAGAAATCCTAGACTGAAAGTGTTTATTTTCTAATATCCATCTTCTCCTCCTGTCCTCCTCCACCTTGCAGGATCAGACAGCTGGACGGCAGCTGAGAGGCGCCTGTTCAATAAAGGCATGGCTGCGTATAAGAAGGACTTTTTCATGGTGCAAAAGCAGGTATGCTTGTGTGGGCTTTGAATCTAGAAAAGAGGAAACTTTCTCATTCTCGCAGTGGCAATGAAAGGCCACCTAATCTTCTTCCGCGGGGAACAGGAACACATGATATATTGTGTGTCGGCTCATTGCGTGGGCGGAGGAAAGGGAAATACAGTTGATGTGGAACAGCGTTTCCGTTTCTGTTTCGATTGTTGCTTTGTCATTGTCAAGCAGGGTTTGGCTTTTCCATCACGGTGCAGCAGAATGTAAAGTGGTGCCTGTGTGGTTTGTCTTTGCCTTAATATGCTGCAGCACATTTTTTTTACTATTTTATCAAAACGTGCAAAAAAAAAGACAAAGTTTGCTGACTTCACATCTTGAATTTAAATCTATTTCATACAGTAGGAAATTATCCCATGCTAAAGGTGAGCCAGGGCCATATTTGTTGCAGCCTCAGCTTTACACACATCCCTGATTTTTACTGATTGGATAAAATGTTGCTTATTATAAATAAATGTCTCCCTACAAACTTTATCGTTCAGAGCCTACGGCTCTCTCCTTAATAATCTTCAGCTCACCCCACAGGTCTCGAAAGCCATAGACGAAGGTTCATTATTTAACTTTTGTGTTTATTGAAGGGTTTTCAGTTTATTGATCATATATTTTTTTATTTTTTTCAGGCGTAGGGAGACAGTTTCTGTGGGATTTTGAGAGATAAACAGGTCTATAGCATCACAAATCTCCAATTTTGATAACAAATGTTGAAATTCCACAGGTAACGACTAAGACCGTGGCGCAGTGTGTGGAGTTCTACTACACATATAAGAAACAAGTGAAGATCGGCCGCACTGGGGCGCTGATTTATGGCGAGGCCGAGCCTTTGGAGAGCAGGACAGCAGAGGAGGAACTGGACCACAAGGTTGGTCTTATGACAGCATCATGAGCTCTAAGACTGATTTTTTAAAATTGTGGTGTAGAACAAAAAAAGTCAATTCTGCAAATAGAAGCTAAAGCAGGATGAATCTTTTGTGAACCATTACCTGAAGTGAGATAAATCTGATCATAGCTGTAACAGCTAAAGATGTCAGAAATGAATATGCTAATATAGAACAGTTTTCTAACCTTTTGAAGAACTTATTGGAAGTACATTTCATATATCTGAATTTTTCTGAGCCGTACTGATTTTTTATTATATTAGGAGCAACGTGAGAGAGGTTTCAGTCGACACTCTATATAGAATAGAAATAGAAAATCCCTTTATTGTCCCACAATGGGGAAAATGTGGTGTTACAGCAGCAAAAACTTATAGCAAAAGTTGTTGCAAAACGTGCACCTTAGAAAAGTCTATAAAAATAACAGTTAAGATAATAAACAAAGTATTGTTCTGTACAGCGTTTTTACAATATAAGTACTCTGTTTCTGGAGAATAAAATCAAAAACAGATGTGGACATTTTTACAGTAATGCATATGTGAAAAAAACTAGCAGTAACATCAGAGATGTGCAAAAATGACAGCAGCATGGGAGGAAGGATCTGTGATAACGCTCGCTGGTGCCTTTAAGGTGCAGCAGTCTGTCACTGAAGGAGCTCTCCAGTTCAGCACCAGCTTCATGCATGGGGTGGGAAACATTATCCAACAGAGATGTTATTTTAGTTAGGATCCTTTTGTTTCCAGAGGACATCTAATCAAAGCTGTCCTTCCTGATCAGCTTATCCAGCCACTTTCTCTCAACTATTATATTAACTTAAAGCAGCAGTCTGTTTTGTTTGTGGTAAATAAAGAGCCCTACCAAGGCCGCTGACATTTCAAAACACAGCATGTTTCGTGCAGCCTTCCTGTTATCTGCTGAAAATCTCACTCTCTTTGTCGCTCTATGAAGGACATATTTTCATTTCTATGCTTTCTCTGACTTATACCCCATTTCCACTACCCTTGAAAAACCGATCCATGCCGAGACCGGTCCGAGCTCGGATCAGTTAACCGGGCCGAGCTCGGTTCTGACGACCGTTTACACATCACGCTATCTCCGTTCCTCGACTCCTCACCTCCTAGTGACGATCTGCGGTATTACTGCCAGTATTGAAGGAGGAAATCAAGCAGTTGGTGGCGGTAATGCACCAAAAGTTGTTTGCCAACCGCCATAAAACACAAGAAGAAGAAGAAGAAGGAGGGAATCAAGCAAATCAAAATGGCGGCGCCCGTCACATTCAGAAAGTTATGCTTGATCATTATTGCTGTACTTCGGTGTTTGCGGTGTTTGGTCAGGCGTGGAGAAAATGTTGCATGGAGAAGATTTCGATTGTTGTTTATAGTTGTTCTTCTTCTTCTGTTTTGTGTTGGTTGACAAGCAACTCCCGGAGGGGCATTACCGCCAACTACTGGAATGGAGTGTGAATCGGGATGGGCAGCCAGACGGAGATGACGCGTTCTGCTCATGCGCTCTTGTTATCAGAGAACCGAGCCGGGGAAAAACCGAGCCGAGCCCACCTCTTGAACTGGTCTGCAGTTAGCTCAGTCCGGTTGTGTCTAGCTCGGTTCAGTTCAGTTTGCTTTCCATTTACACACGATAAGTTATCTCAGTTACTGAGCTCGGACCGGTCTCGGCACGGTTTTTCAAGGGTAGTGTAAATGGGGTATTGGATTCTAAACATCTAAGCTTGTATGGTCTGAATTGATGCACTAGAAAGATCAATGGATGATTGGAAGGAGATTTTCTACTTTAAAAAGAAAAAAAAACAGGAGGAATTGATACTGAAAGTTGCAAATATTGAGTCTTGTTCTCTCAGCTGCAGCTTTCAACACTGGAACCTGAGAGATCAGTATGGTGTGTATATAGGATCTTTGGGTTTCTAACCAACCAGGCATTGGTCAGATGGAAAATTAACCTTGTTCTGTTCACCAGATAATTATTCTATTACCAAGCTATATTTGGACAACCACTTCTAACCTGACTGCGTGTAGTGCATAGTGTTTGACTTGATGTTTAGCTCCCAGAGTAGCTCAGTTTGCAGACGACCTTACTTGGATATCTTCATGAACAATCAGAGAGATGGATCTCACCTGTCAGAGTCGGGCATCTTATTTACTGTTTGTCTTACAGGCCTCTCAGAGAATGGAGCCACAGCAGGAGGAGGACAGCAGGAAGTGGGATGGTTCAGCTGACAGGAAACAGGATGTTTGTCCCACCGGGGCGACACACACGCTGCCGTCCACAGAGAATGTAAGTGTGAAGAGACGAGCTCTGCATGAAGCTTGTATGGTCTGAATTGATGCACTAGAACGATCAACAGATGAATGGAAGGAGATTTTCTTCATTAAAAAGAAAAAGAAGTCAGGAGGAACAAAATTGTCGAAGCATCTATTTCTGTTATTTGCAGATTTTGTGTCCTAATCTGTTTTTAGTTGGTTTGAACCAGATTGAATGAGTCAATTTGGATTTAAATAATTTAAGATTTGTTTTTTCATCCCTGGATTCTACTGCTGATAACCAAAGGACAGAATAGAAAAATATGTGATAAGAGAGAAATGAATCACATATTTAGAACTGTTGAGTTAAGGGATTGTTTCTCCTTTTTTACAAAAACAACTGAACGTTGAAGATTTTCCTCCTTTTTGTTTCATAGTGGTTTTTAATCATTTTTCCAAAGATCACATTAACAACCTTTTTTCACACTAAACCCTTGAACTAAAAGCTTTAACTGTAAATAGAGCAAGTCTGAAGCTACATGTCAGTTTTATATCTTTCAACATATTCCATTTCATCACAGGCAGAGATGGGAAGTAACGAAGTACAAATACTTCGTTACTGTACTCAAGTAGATTTTTCTGATATTTTTACTTTACTACTTATTTTTATGGCGACTTTTTACTTCTACTCCTTACATTTTTACACACATATCTGTACTTTCTACTCCTTACATTTTAAAGAATTGGCTCGTTACTTTAGTTTTGAATCATTTCAATGGAGTTACCGTTATTATTTTTCACGTCATCAATACCAAATTCAATCTAATTGGATGGAAATCTACGTTGCATTTGACGCACCACTACAAGATGAATCGACAGATTCGGTGGTATTCATTCGCAGCTAATCATTGCAACTTGGTGGCGGTGGCGTTAGCATAGTAGCATGGACGACGAGATGATTGAAAATGAACACAACGGAGATCTAATCCTATTGGCAGACATCCATTTAAAATGTAGGCAACGGCATGAAAAAAGTGGTTTCTACTTTTACTTTTATACTTTAAGTAAATTTACAAGCCTGTACTTTGTTACTTTTACTTGAGTAAAGTAGTTTAATCAGTACTTCCACTTTTACCAGAGTATTTTGTTAACAGAAGTATCTGTACTTTTACTCAAGTACGGAAAGTGAGTACTTTTGCCATCTCTGATCACAGGTTTCACTGTGAATTTGGACCCAACGCTGAGATGTTGGATCTGCTGCCCCCCACTGGGTGTTTCTATAAATACCTTCTTCTATTTGCACCTTGTATTGTGAACAAAAACAACTTTGCAAAAACCTTTTATACTTTCCTGTTTATATTTATTTGATAAATATGTTGTTTTGGCTAAATCTGTGTTTATTATTAGACGTATGTTTACACACAGTGTGGGAAAATGTGCTTTTATCAAAAACAATTGAAACTAAAGAAGTGCAGAAATATTTGTATTTCTAAACTTTATTTACATTGCTAGTTAGTAAATGTTGGCCTAGTTAGCCAATCATCCATCCATCAATTAGAAATCCTTCGGGGGCCCTTTGTGGACTCAAGCCTCTGTCTCTTTGTCGCCTGCGTTTAGATGGGGACGGTGCTCATCATGAAAGCCAAGGAGGAGGTGGGAAGGGAGCAGCCGTTGTCCAGAGTCATCCACCACACCCAGCCACCCCAAACCAAGCCACGCTTTGAGGGCAACGCACGCAAGCCCAGCCCCCCTTCCAGCAACAAGGTTCCCGTGGGGCAGGAGGGCGAGTTCCCCTGCAAGAAGTGTGGCAGGTCGGTGATCAGAGATGCCTGTTTACTGTAGAGCCAGCAGGAAATACTGCTGCTGCCCTCTTGGAGTAGAAATCACAAGCAGAGTAAAGCGTTTCATAGTCTGTGTGTGAAAGAATTAGCCTTCCTATCATGCTTTGCCTGAACAACAGCTTGTCCTCTGGCAACACTGCTTCTGTTACTGCCAACTGTGTCCTAGCAACTGCAGATAAAGCAGATCTCCTAGAAGCAGCTCTGCCTGGTGAGAGCTGCATTTGGCTCTTTAGACACTCAAAGCGTCCTCGTTAGAGATGATTCGTTGATGCTTTGCCCCTCCTGTTTCTGCAACAGCGCTGATCTGTGCACTACCGATTTTTGCTATAGCTTGACATGTATGTTTGATAGTCAAATCATGCTATTATATAATCTAAGTTTTCACAATCTTAAATTTTTATTCATTAATAATATTCTTGGAACCCGCATTTTTGGCTCCACATAAAGCGATTAAGCTTTATTGATTAAGCAAGAAAGGTTAATTCATAATTTTGTTATGAAATGTCGCAGAAAGTAGGACATAAATTTGTATACAATTTGTATACCCTCTTTACTGATATGCCTCTAAATAAGATACAGCTAACTGATTTCCTTCAGAAGTTACCTAATCAGTAAGCTATATGCCATTTAATAATACCATAAAGCTGTTCATGGTTTATATAAAGAAATCACATGATTTCCTGATACAATTTTATTTTGAAGTGTGAGAAAACATAAAAAACAATCAATCAAAGCAGACAGACATTAAATCCTGCATATAGCTCGTTCTGTAAAGTGTCCCCAGTCTCTGCAGAAACTAATTTTCCAGCGACTCTTATTACAGGATTTTCTACAAGGTGAAGAGCCGCAGCGCTCATATGAAGAGCCACGCCGAGCAGGAGAAAAAGGCGGCCGCTCTGCGCCTGAAGGAGGCAGAGGAGCGAGCGGCAGCAGCCGAGACCGCCGCCGCCGCCATGGCGTCAAGGCAGCAGAACGGAACGCGACCGGCGGGCGGCGACAGCGCCAACGACGACTCGTCGGGCGGTGAGGACGACGAGGACGAGGACTGGCAGAATTAGGGTGGATGGAGAGACTGGTTTTATCAGGCAGGGCAGCTTATTCTCTTGTAAAGAGAAGAAACATTCACCCTCCTTTTATAGAAACAGGAAACAACAGACAATGCTCCAAGGCGTGCGAGCGTCTGGATCAGTTCGTTTTCCAAACATCCCCTTTACTCAGCTTGAAAAGCTTCTTCAAGAATCAGCGCTCTTGCTCACAGGGCTCGGTGAAATCAAAGCCATGCCTCCCCTACCGGCGTCGCCCTGTGGAATCCAAGCCGCAGCCTACTTTGAGTCCTAGCCTGCTCTGTTCCGACAGGCCCATTGGACCCCCATCTTCACCTTTAGTTGTTCTGCAGCCTGACCGCTGTGGTCAGGATGATGGATATCCGAGAGTTGGGATGAAGTTGAAAAGATGGAAGGATTGGCGGCATGTCTGCCTCTGTCGCCGCTCTGCTGCACTAACAGCCAAACTAGAAGCATGAAATCGGTTCTCTCGGTTTGTCCGAGCTTTGGTTCTGTGAATCCCCGTCATCACCCCCCCTTTCTTTCTTTCTTTTTTTTATAAAGCGGACTTTGTTCCTAACTGTTTATGCCTTAGATGTTTTGACAATTTCATTTGAAAATGACAATCAATTTTACACTGTTGGTGTTTTTTATGGACATGTATATAAACACAGGTCAACTTAATTTTTCCCTCTGTAGTTAAATGTGGTTCCTGTTGTTTTTCTTTGTGAATATTGTTGGTAATTATTAATAATATCATTATTATTATCATTATTAACATTATTGTTATATTCTAGTTTTTGGCTGCGGTTTTAAGCTCTTATTTTAAGCTTTTATTTTCAACTTTTATTTAAACATATGATTTGCTCCTTGCTACCTGTTTATAAATGTGATTTATTTTATTTTTTATTATTATTATTTCATCTGGAGCTGAAAAATGAAGAAAAGGCAGAAACTATTGTGCAATAGAAAGAGTCCACCCCCTGTTGTTTCAGCAGGGTGTTCTCTGTCAGCTCTCTAACTGATAAGAGGTTCCGTTCAAAACCACATTTCTCTGCGGATTGGAGCGAGACGACAACAACCAGCCTCATCTGATCCCAAACACGCTCCAGTATTGGCTTCCTCAGTGGGGGGGGGAGACGAGGCATTACTCCAATCTAAGCATGGGCTGGTCTATTTTGTCAAACCATCACGTGGTATAAGTGCCACGATTTGGGATTTCTACAAAGAAAAAATAGGATGTAATGTAAAAAATAATCAGATTGATTAATGCTAATATTTAGCATGAATATTTCATGTTGGTTCTGATCCACAGATATAAGCAAAAATATGAACTAAACATCAAAGAGTACAGGAGTCTTTTTTTCAGCCAGCTGAGCAGTAGGCGATGCTTCCTCCAAGCTGATGCTAGCCGCTATGAGAGAAGCTTCCGGTTTTCTGTTAGTAAATAATTAACTTTCATCAACCACCTTTATTTCTTTGGAGAAGTAGAAAGTTGTGATAATTAAATTAGAATTTAGAACTAGAATGTTCTGCCTCATGCTTTCTACCTCAGCTTCGTAGCCCTACAGACTGTTATCAGTAAGTTCCTTTCAGTGAAACTTATTATCTGAGCTCAGATAATGTGAAACGTGGAAAAACGGACATTAGTTTCCTTTTTTTGACATTTTATTCTTCCAACCTAGAATCCTTGCTATAGGTTAAACTTTGATTTGATAAAATCTCAAAGGTTCCTCGCAACCTGCTTCCAAATGTTTCCTCCGCTCGCTTAAAAACCTGTTGATGACAGTAAATCGTTTACTGAAAAACTCCAAACCTTAAAACAGATGAGATGAAACCATTTTCTGCTCTGAATTGTCTTTTATTATTTTTCAGATGAATACGTTTACAGCCTGGACTGGATTACTAACATGAAAGCATCTCTGTCTACATTTGAATTTTTGCACGGTGGTTCCAGAGAGGCTTGGTTACAAATGATTGTTTAGATGAGGATTATTTTTTTTTTCATTAAATGAGGCTTTTAAATGCCGACATTAAGTTTCGTCTTTCAAAGCAGGCGGTTTGGATCTGTGATTCCCCTATTCCTGTACACCTGATACGAGGCACTGAGTTGGACCATTGTAACGGTGATTCATCTGTTGCTACATATCCCAGTGTTAAGCCCTTTAGCCCGGAGCCGGCTTCAGCAACAAATGGGTGAAAGGGTTGTTTCCTTTAAAAGGGGGTGGGGGCAGAAGGAGCAGTATCAGCTCTGCTTACTCTACAAGTTAAAAATCCGGGTCTATGCACAGAGTGAGTGAGTGAGTGTTTTTGTTAGCGGTGTGTATGAAATCTGTGAGGTCAAAAAAAAAAAATGTTTTGCAGACTGTTAACGTTTGGTATGTTAATTTATATCCTTTTTATTTGTGCTTGTCTCAAGGTTCTTGTTTGGGTTTGGATGGGGAGGGGGGGGGCTCAGGGCTAAAAAAAGGTTTCAGAGAACAATTTTTATGGGTGAAAATTGAGGCCAAAAACTTCTCATTTCATCGGCCGGTTAAGGGAAATTGCAGAAATGTTTATTAGCTAAAGATTGGAAATATATATGAACGGAATTCTATGTTTGCATACTTTCTATGCTATTTTCGTATAGGGTTCACACTAATGTTAAAACCAGAAAGGAATCTCAAGAGCTTTTTACTACAGTGTAACTTATTTGTGTTGATTTGGTTTTTACCACCTGTTTTAGTAAGGATTTATGGATGCACTGTATATTAAAGGTTCAAAACATTCAGCAGACTCTGTTTCTTTCTGGTTTAACGCCCACAACACGCCCACACAGAATAACAATGGCCGCAAGTTCTGGCACAAACTGGAACGACGAATATAAAGTTTTTCAACTAAATCCTGCGAAGATTCACAACAAATTACATTTTTAGGCATTTTGCAATTGGTTCCATTTAAAATATAGTGTAGAGAGAGGAGCCAGAGTTTAATGTTTAAATTACACTTAATGTTTAAATGTGAGATTTATTCAATCAAAATAGTTATTAAATTAAAATGCATCAAAAATAGTTTCAGTAATCAATTTTAAAATATAAAGAAACATTAAAAAAAAGGTATTATTTAGGATACCCTCACCCCATTAGATATGAAGTTATTAATCTTTCTGTTTCTATAATAAAACATTTCAATTGTTAGTTTAACTAAACCAACCAATTGTAAATGTATGGGTAATATAGATGGGAGTTTAAGTTCCCAGAGGTTGAAAAAGCAGCCTTTGATAAACTGAATGTTTACATTTGAGTTGATTTGTGTCTCAATAAACCAGACTGAGTCCTTGAATCTGCATTTCTAACATCCACTTTCTCAGTGGAATCAGGAATGTTGATGCGTCTGCTTGGTTGGCCTCAAGGACGTGCCCAGGAAAGCATCGGCTGTTTCTGTCTGGAAAAAGGCAGGACTGGTAGGGCTCCTGTCTCTGGAATTTAGACTTGATTTATATGCAGAGCCAAAGTGCAGCAAAGCAAAACTTAACATTTGCTGGAACTGTAAAAATTAAACCCAATGCAAAAAAAAAAAGGGCGTTTTGGTAAATAAGAAAAACAGGTGAGACTGTTTAAAGTCCTATTTTCAAAACTTTACATAGAACTGTCTTCAGGCATAAGTCCTTTGTTTTTAGAAGTTGGTCTCAACTGCATTGTCCACAAAAATATAGCTACATGTAAATCATTTGAAAAAAAGTATGTATTTTTTCCTTATAAAATGTTAACAAAAAACATGATGGTTGTATGAAAGCATCCAGACAGAATGATGATCTGTATCTTTTACAGAGACAATGGAGCACCTTTCACTAAGCAACATAATATAATGGCTTAAAGATCCACAGTAAAATGTTGAAACCAGTACTAAAAAAAAAAAAAGCACAAAAAAACTCCCTTAACCTTTATTCAGCGTCAGACATTTAAAAATCACATCATACTTTTATTTATCCTTTGGTAAAACATAAAAAGTTAAACTTTTAGAAATATTAAAGCCACAGAATCAATTTCTTAGGTCACTGCCTCATTTTTTGGGCTGTAAACATGATCTTCAATAATAAGCAGGTTTGGAGAACATACTGTACTTGTTTCACCAGGGGGCGCTATAGTTCCAGATTTTATTTTTTGTACTAATGGATATGGATGCTGAAGCTGCATCAAACGTGACCCACATGTTGGATGACAACATGTAAAAACCCAAAGTGCTCACAAATATGCTTTGAATAAGAACCTCGATCATTTAACTCATCTGATGATCATGAAAAATTCAGTAGTTTATTTTGTATACTTTCTTCAGACGTATAACATTTTCTTTTTCCATGACGTAATTTTACCAAAGCATTTTTTCTCTGCTATTTGAAAATCTGTCTTTTTTTATCAAAGAAATATTTTCTGTGCAGTAAAGAAAATGGTGCCACAATCCGGTGCTTCACATGGCCCACATGTATGCATATTTTGCAACTTCACAACCACAAACCTAAAAGTTTCTGTTGACAATTTAAAATCTGTGCCAAAACTGGACGACTGCTGGTTATAAATGCTTCTCATTCCCCCTGGTTGGAACTTGAGGAACTTGCAGAGAACACTAAGCTTGCTAGATTTGGTAAGCTGCTAGAGTCTAAAAAAGTTCAAGAAATATAAGCACTTCTGCAAAAGCACTGTAAGTACATTTCTATATATATATATATATATTTATATGCACCATTGTCTCGATTTTGATATTTTTGTCCCAGCAAAGTTTGCTTTTGTTTGGCACAGTCAAAGTTGTCTGTTAATTGGCACCAAAAGCTGCTTTCTGTCTGTGATGTAAATGTCTAAAAAAAAAAAAAAAGTTGAAATCCGGATCTGAATTCCAGATTCCTTTGCATAGTATGGCTCTGTAGTTATTTTAGTCTAAATTACACTTTTGTTTAAAGTATAAAGATTTCATCTTTGACATATTGTGAAATATTGTTGAAATATTCAGATTATTCCACTCAGTAAACCTACTGTCCTTGTTAAAATCGTCCTCCCACTCCTACAGACTTGGGTTTATTGTCTCTACTCTATTTATTTATTTATTTATTTTTTCTTCTTCCCTGTTGTGCCGTTTCCTTTGTTATGACCAGAAACCTGCAGTGATTAAATGTGGAAAAATTCAAATTCTTCACTGCTTTTGTGTTTACAATTACGACACTGGAGGATGGTTTGGCAATAACTGTGGAGCAGCAGGATGTGGCAGTGTCAGATCAAATCAGGAAAAAGAACTGCTTACTTCTCCCTCCAGCACCGCAGTGAACAGCAGGAAAATCTGGGAAAAGGCAAACAAGAACAGCATGCGGCTCAGATGTGTTTTCACCAGATCCAGTCTGTGAGAGCCGGAGGAGGAAGAGGAGGATGAGGACACTGAGGAGGAGGAGGACAGCATGGTGGAGTGAAACAAAACGTGGGAAGGCAGGCGAGGAGGCATGCACACCAACTCTATCTGCAGATCTCTGGAGAACATTAGAGATCAGAGTTATACTTTGGAAGGTTTAAACGAGAGAGGCAATACAAATCATACATTTCACCTTGAAGCTTCTCTATTAAACATCCATTCAAAAAGGACCTTTTATAGAGGCCTCTGACCTTCCTGATGTCATATCTGCATATCATGAAATACCATTCATGAAACATGATGAAAACTGCAGCCCGTTTCTAGCAGTCATCATTAAAATCCCCCTCTTAACCTCAGACAGAGTCGGGGGGGAACCTGAAGAGGGTTTCCAGGTGCTCTCCCCAGGAGTGTGTGAACAGACGTGTGTGTAGGAGTTCAGTGAAGATATGAGTGTGAATCAGTCACCAACAGTCAGGGCTTTGATTGTTACGCTGCGGCCTGATATGAGTCTGTCTGTTTAACCCCCAGGAGGTCAGATAAGGTGATCATCAGTCTGATGGTTGGATGGATGGTTTTAATGTTATTAAACTGACTGATTGACAGATTTTTTTAAGTATTATTTTTTTGTAAACTAAAAATGTTTTTTTTGTAATGTTTTTTTGTAAAGTTTTGCCTGCATGTATAAACTAAAGAGTCTGTCAGTTATAAAGAAAGGCCTGATCCATGTAAACTTTGCAGGGATGTTCACATACACATTAAAACAAGATGTTTCCGAGCAAAAATCCAGGCTGATAGAAGACAAATTATTGTGGTACTCCACTTTGAACTTCTTTTTGAATTTCCTTTTGAGTTTTTAGTTATTCATGTTATTCTGTTTTGTTGGTCATTGGTTTCTTTTTCATTTTGTGTTCATAGTTAAGCAGTGTTCTGTTGTTTAAGTTTCTCTCTGTTGCTCCCTTGTGCTGGTTTCCTTCCCCCTAGTTCCCTTCTACTTACTTCTATCCACACCTGCTCCCTATCAGGTGATTAGTCCATAGTTTGTTCTGTCCCTCATATATGAACCCCCTCTACATTTCATCATTGCTGGTTTCTCATTGTTACTTGGCTCCCCCTGACGTCTTCTGGTTTTTGGTTTCCTGTATTTTTGGTTCTTGAATCTTGTTCCTGGTTCCCCTTTTCTAGCCTTGTGAGACCATCCTGATCTCGTGAGCTTTCAAGGTTTCACTCTCTAATCAGTCTGGAGACTCTCCGTTGAAGAAAATTTGGAGCCGTTCACCAAACGAACGTCCAATCAGCGTTGGCTTTGAGGCGGGTTGAGGTGTGACGCAACGAGAAGCGCGACAGTTCATGCTAAAGAACATGGTGGCTTCAGCCGATGAAACTAGCGTTAGCGTGGCTATCGAGCAAGTTTTATCGGAATTACAGAGTATTTCTTCACTGAAAGAAGAGCGAAACACTGCTCTGGAGGCTTTTCTCAGAGGAAAAGATGTTTTTGCTCTTCTCCCGACTGGTTTCGGCAAGAGTAGGCTGGATGTTAGTACGTCATATGCTTCGTTGATCTGATTGGTTTATTTGGCCCGTCTATCACCAACATAGGCCAATCAGCTAACCAGTATTTTCGCCCCTTCCCAAAATTACTTTAACGGAAGGTTTCCAGATGGATATGCGGAGCAAATCCATCTGGCGGAGTCAGATTTCCCCTTTTCTACTTGTGCTGATTAGTAATATTTACACCATTCACGTATTGTGATAAGGGCTCACTGACCCACAGTCGCATGTAGAGTACCTGTTCTCTACCCTAATCTGGATTCTTCCTTTAACCCCAGAGATAAAGGCAGTGCAAAGCCATAGAATTTTCAATTATTCTCTTATTCTACTTGATCACAATAATTTCCTTATTTATTTATTTTTTACTTTGCATACTCCTACTCTGGCATACGGCTACTGTATGACATTTTCTAGAAATACAGAAACCCGAGACAATGTTTTTCAGAAGCTTGCCCTCAAATCAACAAGAGAGATGCTATTTTGAATCAAATTGCCATTTTAACATTTGGCATAATCTCATGGTTTCAAAAATTGCTCCTTAGGATTTGGATGCATGAGTTTGGAAACTTGCTCGGTCTGTTTTTAGGGCATTGGAGATTAAATATTACCAGAAGCCTGCGATTTCTTGAGTGCTTGGTTGTGGCTGGATAGCAAATCTGGCTTCTCAACATGCAAAACTAAACTCACACATGAAGTTCCTCTATGATTATGGACAGAAAAAGTAACAAAAGGAAGAAAAAAAAATCATATTTTTTTTCTTTTGGATGTCTTTCTTTCAGGCCTTTTAACCATACACTGGTTACTGCCGCTAACCTAACTGCTTCTGGGACAGAAATTAATTTTAACATT